AGGGTAGGAGGGGGGCCGGAGGGGGTGGGGGGTAGGAGGGACAGGGGGAAAGGGTTAGGGTAGGAGAGGACAGGAGGAAGGTGAGTTTTAGGAGAGGACAGGGGAAGGTGGGGGTAGGAGAGGACAGGGAGGGGGTGAGGGTGGAGGGGGACAGGGGAAGGTGAGGGTGGGAGGGAAACAGGAGGAAGGTGAAAGTAGGAGGGGGACAAGAGGAAGGTGGGGTAGGAGAGGACAGGGGGGAAGGTGAGGGTAGGAGAGGACCGGAGGGGGGGTTTGAGGGTAGGAGAGGCAGGAGGAAGGTGGGGTGGGGAGAGGACAGGGGGGAAGGTGAGGGTAGGAGGGGGACAGGGGGAAAGGGTTGAGGGTAGGAGGGGGACAGGGGGAAGGTGAGGGTAGGAGGGGGACAGGGGGAAAGGGTTTGAGGGTGGGAAAGAGGACCGGGGGGGGTGAGGGTAGGGAGGAAAGGGGGAAGGTGAGGTGGGGAGAGGGACGGGGGAAAGGGGGGCGAGGGTAGGAGAGGACGGGGGAGGTGAGGGTAGGGGAGGACAGGAGGAAGGTGGGGTAGGAGAGGACAGGGGAAGGTGAGGGTAGGGGGGGCCGGAGGGAGGGGGGGTTTAAGGAGAGGACGGGGAGGAAGGTGAGGGTAGGAGAGGACAGGAGGAAGGTGAGGGTAGGAGAGGACAGGGAAAGGGTTTGAGGGTAGGAGGGGGCCCGGGGAGGGAGGTGAGGGTAGGGGAGGGGGAAGGAGGGAGGTGAGAGTGGGAAAGGAGGACGGGAGGAAGGTGAGGGTAGGGAGGACAGGGGGAAAAGGTGAGGGTAGGAGAGGACAGGGGGGAAGGTGAGGGTAGGAGAGGACAGGAGGAAAGGTGGGGTAGGAGAGGAAGGGGGAAAGGGTTTGAGAGTAGGAGGGACAGGGGGAAGGTGGGGGTAGGAGGGGACAGGGGGAGGTGAGGTAGGAGAGGACGGAGGAAGGTGAGGGTAGGAGAGGCCCAGGAGGGAGGGGGAAGGGTTTGGGGGAGGACGGGAAAGGGAGGTGAGGGTAGGAGGAGGCCAGGAAAAAAGGTGAGGGTAGGAGAGGGGCGGGGGAAAGGTGAGGGTAGGGAGGACAGGAGGAAGGTGAGAGTAGGAGAGGACAGGAGGAAGGTGGAGGGTGGAGAGGACAGGAGGAAGGTGAGATTTGGAGGGGACAGGAGGAAGGTGAGAGTGGGAGAGGACAGGGGAAAGGTGAGAGTAGGAGGAGGACAGGGGGAAAGGGTTTGAGGGTAGGAGGGGAAAGGGAGGAAGGTGAGGGTAGGGGGAGGACAGGAGGGGGGTTAAAGGGTAGGAGGGGGAAAAAAGGGGGGGGGTGAGGGTAGGAGGGGGAAAAAGGGAAGGGAGGTAGGGGGGAACGGAGGAAGGTAAAGGGACAGGAGGAAGGTGAGGGTAGGAGGGGGAAACAGGAGGGAGGTGAGGGTGGGAAAGGAGGACGGGGAGGGAGGTGGGGGTAGGGAGGACGGAGGAAGGTGAGGGTAGGAGAGGACAGGGGGGGAGGTGGGGTAGGAGAGGACAGGGGGGAAAGGTGGGGTAGGGAGGACGGAAAGGGAAGGTGGGGGTTGGGAGAGGACAGGGGGAAGGTGGGGGTTAGGAGGGGCAGGGGGAAAAGGGGGAGAGTAGGAGGGGAAAGGGGGAAAGGTGGGGAAAAGGAGGGGGACAGGGGGAAAGGTGAGGGTAGGAGGGGGACAGGGGAAGGTGAGGAGAGGAGGGACGGAGGAAGGTGAGAGTAGGAGAGGACAGGAGGAAGGTGAGGGTAGGAAAAGGACAGGGGAAGGGGGGTGGGGGGGGACAGGAGGAAGGTGGGGGTTTTAGGAGAGGACAGGAGGGAGGTGGGGGTAAAAGAGGCAGGAGGGAGGTGGGGTTAGGAAAAGGGGAAAAAAAGAAAAAAGGTGAGAGTAGGAGAGGACAGGAGGAAGGTGGGGGTTGGGAGAGGCAGGAGGAAGGTGAGGGTGGGGAGGGACAGGGGAGGTGGGGTGGGGAGGGGGAAAGGGAGGGAGGTGAGGGTAGGAGAGGACGGGGGAAAGGGTTTGAGGGTAGGAGAGGACAGGGGGGAAGGTGAGAGTGGGGAGGGACAGGAGGAAGGTGGGGTTTGGAGGGCGGGGGGGGAAGGGGGAGGGTGGGAAAGAGGACAGGAGGAAGGTGAGAGTAGGAGAGGCCCGGGGGGAAGGGTTTGAGGTAGGAGAGACAGGAGGAAGGGGGTGGGTAGGAGAGGACAGGGGGAAAGGTGGGGGTTTGGAGGGGAAGGAGGAAGGTGAGAGTAGGAGAGGACAGGGGGAAAGGGGGAGGGTAGGGGAGGCGGAGGGAGGTGAGGGTGGGAAAGGGACAGGAGGAAGGTGAGGGGGTAGGAGAGGACGGGGAGGGAGGTGAGGGTAGGAGGGGGAAAAGGGGGAAAGGGTGAGGGTAGGGAGGCAGGGGAAAGGTGAGGGTAGGAGGGAAACAGGGGGGAAGGTGGGGTGGGAGGGGGACGGGGGGAGGTGGGGGTTAGGAGGGGGAACGGGGGAAGGTGGGGGTTAGGAGGGGGAAAATCAGAACAAGGGTGTGCCTTGGTATATTGGAAAAATTGATTAGTTGTTGGAAAATGTCAACTTTGGTGGTGGGTTTGTAAGTGCGGGTGGTGGTTGTTTGGGGGGGGTTTTGGGGTTGGTTGTTGGGGTGCGGGTTTGGTTGTTTAGGGGTGGTGGTGGTTTGGGGGGTCAGGTGGTGGGGGGGTGATTGGGGTTTTGGGGATTTTTTCAAGTGAGGGGAAGGCTGGTAGGTGGGCAGGTAGGAAAAAGGTGAGGAAAGAGTACGGTAAGTTAGGAGGTGAAGGGAAGAAAGGGGGGGGAAAGGAAAAGGATGGTACGAGGAGGAAGGAGGGTTTGGGGGGAGGAATGATGGTAGGGTAAAGGGAAAGGGGTTAGTATAATAATTTTTTTATTAAAAGTACATGTAGAATTTTATACAGTTTTGGGTGACATAAATAACACTTCGTATATAAAAAAGCCTTTTGGGTTAGGCTGGGGCTTTTTGGGGAAAAATTTAGGTCAATTTTTTGTCCCGGGTTGCGACCCACCCCAGTCCCTAACCCCCAAAGGTTTTCCCAAATTTTAAAACGATGAGTGAAAGGGACAGGGGGTTGTTTATGGAAAAAACGTCCCCAATCTTTTCCAGCCGTCCCCGGAAAGATTCAAATTTTCCGGACCTAAATGTGTGAGTTTGGGGTTTTTGTGTTAAGATTGATTTTAGTAAATTTATTGAAAAAACCCACATTAAACCCCCTTTTGTTTTTTTAGGCCAAAGTCGCCGGTTTGGTTATTCGGTACGATGGGGGTGGTTACCCTAAACGAAGCTCCCGGGACTTTTCATCATTTCTACAACATTGGGGTTTCCTGATAGTGTTGATTTGCAACCCCGAAAGGCCTAGGTTCATTAAATCCCCCCTGTGGTTTTTTTTGATATGTATTTTTAGTATA